TACTCGTTATGTTATACAGAAGAGCTTTCCCTTCCTACAAGTGTCCAGTTACCACACTGACCGTGATTTGGCTGAACTGGTGGACCCAAACTGGCCAGCTCCAGGATCTAAATGGTTATATTCTGTGCCTTGGGGATTCAGAAGATTACTCAACTTCATTAAGGTGATTACAGCATGAATCTTTAAAAGGAAGTGAATAAAATGTCTGGTTACTTGCAGAAGCTGCAGGACCTGCACTTACACTATTTTAGATTTTCAACAGTTTCACCTATATATTTGGGAAGTTTCTTTGCCAAAAAACCCACCTTAATTTCAGTTTCGAAAACTATAGAACTCATTAATTTTAAAACAAAAAACCATAGTTAACTTAAATTCCTAGGTTCACATTTTTCTTATGAAAGGTAACTCTAAGTAAGTTTAGGAAATTGCTTTTAATGCATTTTACGCAGAATCTCATGTTCTGTCAAAATAAGATGATTTTGTTTCTATGAACTGGTCTAAACATATCTTTGTTTGCAGACACAGTATGGGAACCCTCTCATTTACGTGACAGAGAATGGAGTTTCTGAAAAGGTACAGTGTACTCAACTGTGTGATGAATGGCGGATAGAGTATCTGAAAGGATATACTAATGAAATACTGAAAGGTAACTTTAAAAACATCTTTTTAGTGCATGAGCTTTAAGCTTTTTCACCTTCTGATTATTTTTTACTCCTGTAATTTACATCATAGGAGAAATAAATACTCACAGGTCAAACTGGACAGCAAACTAGACTAATAAATTTTCACTAAAGTGACAACCTAGCCAAACGTACTGACGCTAATACAATAACCTACATGAGATTTAACACTGTGATAGATGATCGGTTTCCACTTTTAGAAAGGAGAAATTGCACCTAATTGCCATTCTTACAGAGCTTTAGTACCTCTAAGCTAAAGATAACATTTTCAAAGACTCTTAATTGCTTCGTACTTTGCCACTTTTCTGTCTTCCTCCGCCCTCCCCGTCTCTTTCTGGTATAAGACAAAACACCTACAGAACCATATTTTAAGGACGACAGACATAGGCAACAAGTTTAACAGAATAATTTGTATTCTGGTTACAGCTCTAAATGATGGTGTTAATGTCAAAGGTTATACTGCCTGGTCACTGCTGGATAAATTTGAATGGAACCAAGGCTTCTCTGAAAGATTTGGATTTTACCACATTGATTTTAAAAACAAGAACAAACCTCGATACCCAAAGGCATCCGCTGACTATTATCAAAAGATTATCAGTGCAAATGGATTCCCAAATCCAAGAGAGGTGATGTCAATTGTTAATTTCACTCTTCTTTCTTTTTCTTTTTTTCTTCAATATATGGGCAAATATCACATTGGATTTCATGAAACAACTTGCATGAACACGGTACATGAAATTTGACACTTTGGTTCTGTAAATCAGGGATGTGTTGAATACGCAGGCCTCCAGAGACAGAGAACGTGGAAGCAACCTCAATTACTGTTTCTAAAGCATTTCACAAACTCTAATTGGACTTACTGACGTGAACAAAAATTCTAAATCGTAAGTTACCAGTGCTCTGTCAGATTTCTAGCCAGAAAATTACACATACGTGCTATCTTATTGGAAAATATGGCATATATTATGTGCTTTTAAAAAATTTATGAAACAATTAACTATAAGAAATATATTGCAATAAGAATCACAAAGATACAAAGGAACTTTCAGAAAATCACGTGTTGACAGAATAAAATGGTTTCAAGTCAATTGTAGCGGACAAATGTTCAGGGACAAAGAAGCTGCTGCGAGGCAAAATATTACAGTTTAATAGAACTGCTGCATGTCAACCTTCTCAGGTGCAAAACTGGTATCAGGCGGCCATGGACACTTGCTCTACCACACACCAACTCCTTGCTACAGGTAATTATGTATCTTCTGTTCTGTTTTATAAAAGCATATTGTGTCACTTTCAGATTTTAAATTTCTCTGTGAATATTACTATTAGCGGGTCCTAAAAGGAATTTTCTCCTTGAAAGCACAACAGCTTTCAAATACAAGAAGCCTCTAAAGAAAAATGTCTTTATTTACTCCCTCCAACTAAAATCACTGTAGCTAAATGGATCAACTTTGGATGTTAATGGAATACACAAACTGTAAGAGTTACTATTTAAAATTAAGGCGAGGGATGACAGTATTATCCTTAAAATAATAGAAGTGCTAAAGGCTCTTTCAAACATCAAACAAAACCAGAGAAATCAAGACAACCATGCAGACAGAAAACCTCTTAAGTGTTTGACTTCTACATAAGATGAAACTATTAAAAAACGGGCTAAGTACTAGACTAAGGTAGCGTTAAGCCACGTTTCTGCTCTTCATACTCCTGGTAACAAAGCTAACAACAGCACAGCTTAGAGCAGCTGCTCACCAATCCACAAATACCGCAGACTTTGCCTGCAGTTTCCAAAGTGCCAGGCTAATCCATCTCACTTAAGACCTTCCCGATATAATTCGGGACCTTTCATAATTCCTGAACTAGGAGAATAATCTACCACAGTGGATTTCTGAAAGTTTTAAGGAAGACAAAATAAGTATTCTAAAGTCTCATGAGAAGGATGAGAGAAATTCTACCTGGTAGAAAATGTCAAAGCAGTCCTCCTAAGTTTATCCTACTTAGCCTCAACTGCTGAGTGATATGTTCTATGTGAATTAACTGTGTTTACTGAACTGTTTGAGGCTTATCTGTGGAGCAAAATTCTACAAAATAAAACCCATTTCATTTTGAAAGAGCTGCAAAACAATCATAAAAAGGCTAAAGTGCTTCCCAAGGATTTCTCTTTGACAATTTTCTTTTCCACACTTCCCTTGGAGGGGATGGGGGGGGGGCACAAATAAAAATCAAAGGAACAGTAGAATACTGCTAATGCAGTGAAGCTAATTCATAGCACAATTTTTGCAGCCCTTTGAGCACTGACATATATTCAAAAATTTACCTTAGAAAGAGAAAAAAAGAGGGAAAACTGTCATGGATTTGCTCCAGCTTTTGCAGACTTAGGAAATTTTGTTTGTTTGCTGTTTATGCCAATGCCAACATTTAACAAAATAATTTTAGCCATATATGTTCAAAAAATCCTTAATCTATGTTAACTCTAAGTTAACAATTAGTACACTCCAGCAGATTAAATTTCTTACATATTACTTATTTCTCAAATTTTAGATTCCCTGATTACTCACATGGAAACGGTGACAGAGATTGTTCTTCCTACAGTTTTCACACTCTGCATACTCATCAGTATTGTCCTACTAATATTCTACCTTCGAAATCACAGATAAAATTGCATGCTTACACTCATCTTCATTTTGCATAATAAATAAAATGCAACTGTTTTATTATATTGGTTAAAGTTTACCACAGATATCACTTGTATACCACCGTAAAGATAAAGAAGTATTACTTTACCTATCCACCTAGCGCTTTTATAGTTTTTTCTATTCAATTCCCAAAAACATAACTTGATTTTTTGTTATCAAAACCCAAAGTGCATTTTCTTTCTGCATTACTTTCTACTAATTTTAAGTAGCAGATTTTATGTTTCTTATTATTTTGGAATCTACTATACATTTTGTTCACCAGAAAAATAGTTAGCTAAGATTAAAGTGATTCAAATCTTGCCAGTACAAATTTCAAGTGATTAAAAACTGTTTGCAAATTCTGATTTCGGTCTGTTCATCAACAGACTTCTAATTAGCATGTAACTGCTATTTGAAGAGAGACAGACACATAGTTTTAAAATGGAATAGGATTTAAGTATTCCAAGAGCACTGCTTAAACATTAACTAATTATTCATGTCTAAAAAGTTAGATAATATATGCCTTACTATTTAGGTGTGGAGAAGAATTATTTGAAGTGATTAATCAAAGATGACAACTGCTGAGTCAGATTTAAACCAAGGACTCCTATCTCTCTAGTCTTGTTTACAGGGAACTAGGTTTACCTCATACGACTTTATAATATATTACACACAGAAATGTGTATTATAAGTATTCCAAGCACTTCCAGAATGTAATGTTCCACCTCAAATTTACTTCTGCTGCAGGTAGGAACAAGTTAAGCACATGATTGTAAAAAATTTATTCCAGAATATGGCCATCTGGCTGTATTTGTCCTTCTGTTGTGCTTGAAATGATTCCTCTAAAGCAAAGCAACAAACAAGTTTTCTGTTTAGCTTGCACTATGGTTTCAACACTGCATGTGCGTATACTGAATGCAGAGTAGCAGTACATACATCCAAAAAACCCACCTTGTTCTTCGCTTCTCTTCAAAGGCTTTAACTATTAAACTGATAGCTAGTTAAGATGTAATATTGGGAAAGGGATACGAAATAAGATTTACTGAGGAGAATCCAGAAGTGACAGAAACTTATAGTTTTTAAAAAGCATGAATATTGGGGTTTTCCTTATTCTTATTTATCAATAGTTAAATAGTTTCTTTTATGCAAAACACTTCTGTCTCAATGCAAAACGCTTCTGTCTCCAGTTAGTTAATCAGCATATACTACACTATCTACTTGTTTAAAGATCAAAACGTTACATACGCTATCTAACCAACATGAGAACATTCGCAACTGTCAGGAACTAACCCCAACATATTTAAATGATCATGCCCAGCCAACTATACGGAACATATTTTTCAGAAAATTATGCAAAAGTACACAAGACAACACTGTTAAAATAATTCACTTTGCACTGAGGGGAAAAAAATGAATTTGAAGAGGAGAGAGAAGTATATCCAAGAATACTCCAAAATATAAATACGTGGACAAAGAAAAGTCAAACTGTCACAAGCTCACAACGCCCTGGATGAACACCTTTCCAAATATATGTGGATGATGAAATGTCGCTTGACACCAGGAAAACATTACAATACTGCTTGTTTTGTTGGGTTAAGGTAATTCACACTTTGAACAGCGTCTGATTGCATTCTTAACGAATAAAATAAAATTTAAAACCCCAAAGTGCAGAACTTTATTGAATGTTTGTAAATATACGAACAAAAACGTCTTCTATATTTTCAAAATAATTATACTATACATTCATAATTGCACAACATTTAAAAACAAATTAGATGTGTACAGATGAATTATGGCTGCGTATGTCACACTTCAAGCATACCAAAGCAAATAACTCAGTAAGATGTACTGTTCTTCAAAGCACAGAGTGTTTCTAAATATACCGTTGGGACACAGATAATACTGAACTTTCCTCTTTACTGTACCTTTCAAGTGCCTGCCTGTGGAGTAACATGCCTCTATATGAAATGCACCTGACTGCACTTAGCCATTGTAATAAAATACATTCTTTCGTCACTGCTGCCATTAACTGTGGAATCGGAAAAGAGACCTGCACAGACAAAAGGAAAAGATGTGATTAGACACTATTCTTAGAAGGAGAAACTGTAGAGATTAATTCCTGTAGCAGCTTCAAGAACTGGTTTCAAAACTTCAGTTTTACTGAAAGGAGCACTTCATGACAAAAAATGAGAATGACAGGAAAGCTTTCCCAAAGCATTACCCTGGATCAAACCTCACCCCGCAACAGCAGATTATTTCTATACCAGCCTACATGCTTAATTCTTCCCCATTCTCATGCTTTTTCACTTGTTCTACGTTTGATTGCAGCAAGGCATGTCTTCCCTCCTTAGCACCTGCTTGCTTCTCTGACTAGAGGCCAGCATTCGATAACAGGTAAATTTCTCTTCAAACCCATTCTCAGATACACTGGCGAAGATTTTAGAAATAGGTTATAAGATAATGTGTAGAATATTTAACAATCATGTCATATTTGGAACTATTCTGTGATTTTAACTCTAAAAACATAATTTGGCAAAGGTGAGAAGGCAGAAAGTCACCACTTTGTGAAAATCTTTTACATTCTATAAATACTATCTCACCCTTTTATTAAAAGACAAAACATTGTTTCGCTTTTGCTGAAGACAGAAATAAGAAAGAGTTCAGATCCACTGAACCCAGTATAAAAACCGAATTTGAAATGTGTACTTCCGTTATTTCACGCCACCACAAATATTCCTCACCTGTGTTGTTTGATGTCATATGCTCCACTGGAGGATTAGTACTAACTTGCCATGTTGTTTTAACCTCCTTCTGTCCATGCCCGCTACTTATGTCCACCTTCCATATTTCTGGGTGATCACTGATAGAATAATCAAGAAATGTCAAAATTCAGTCATGTATTCAGTCACATCTGAATTTTAATGCTGCAAAGACTGAGGTTTCTCTTACTTTTGATAGAACTTCTTGACAAGTGCTGGTCTGATTGGAAGTTGAAACACATGCTTCTCATTGAGAGGGTTTTCCTTATAATACTTCATGCAAATTCTACAATAAGAATCAGCTAGTTACTAACTTTCTTGGGAGAAATGCTTGTGCAACACTGCATAAACCTCGTGCAAAATTAACTATACTCTCAGATTTTATGATTTCCTTTGTGTCTCAATTTTAGTCACAAAGCAAAATTTAAAAAGAAGATCCAGCTGCTACTTCTGCAGTCTCATAATCATTAACATTAAGGAGGGTTGCTTTTTTTTTTTTTAAGAGAGTTTCTTTACAACTGTCGAAGAAAATCCATTTGTTATTTTCATTTAAAGAGCAAGAAGTAAAAATGAAATAATTACTGTGTCAAGGGGAAGAGGTTCTCATGTTTAAACTGAAGTAAGACTGTACAGCTGACCATTATTTCCAGCATATGGTGGAGCTTTTGAACACGATGAACTTGCTCTTGTAGATCTACTGACGTGGAAATGAAGTAATCCTGGAACAGCAAACAGCTTCTGCTCTTAACTGGACACTGAATTTCTACAGACACACAACACATCCTCAGTATACTAAAATCATTTTCCTGCTTCTTTCAAGAAGCCAAAATTTTAAGAATGGCCCAGCAGAGTCAGAACAAAGTTCCATGCTGTCGAAGTATGAACAAAGGTTCGCTGTCCTGCCTGACAATGACCCATACCAAATACCTATACGAGTAAGGCAACAACAGAATGACGTTTCTGCAATATTCTGTCCCATCCTCATGATTTGCAATTCAGTTTCACAGCTTATAGGAATGATATGACCTGCGTCCCACCATTGGCTACTTTATACTGCTTTCAGAGTAAAAAAACAAACAAAAAAAAGCATCTCACCAAGCAGGTTAATGTTGCAAGTTCCTGGCCTGTAAAATGAACGGGGGGAAAAAGAAATAAAATTAAAATTTACTATATAATGTCAGATGAAATATAAGTAACATTCAGGTAATCAAATGGAATTCTACCAAAGAAAACTGCAAAGTCACTGGGACTGCGATGTTATTTATTGACATGATTACTCATTCAAAACAAGAAAAGCCCTGAAAAGTGGCATGGTAGAAGCATTACCTTATTTACCACCAAGGCTGCACAATGAAGAAACCTACCACATACTTTGAGATGACCACCCTCCTTGGGACATATAGGTTTACAAATAGTCAAAATAAAAAAGCAAATGAAACAAAGAACGAAAACAGGATGACAAAGCAAAAAAGAAATCAAGAAATGAAGAGATGAAGAGATGAAGGAAAAAGAAGTGGGTAATAACAATAACCTCCTCCCTCCCACAAATTCAGAAAAAAATAAAGCTATAATACTGAAAACAAAGCCACAATGTATTCAAGAAAAAAAAAAAAGTACTTTACAAAAATCTTTCTACTTTTGTTTCCAGTATTTTTTACATAAGTAATCAAAAATATCTTTCTAAATACTACAGACTGTACAAACACAGTTATTACATATAAATACCCTTGCCTGATTTCCTTTTAACCCATGTAGACCATAAAGGAAAAGACAGAAAGAGAATGAGGGTCTTATTTTTTCACCTACAGCAAACAGATAAGAAAACAAAACAGTCCACAGTTATATAAATCTGGTATTTATTTTACTTGAAGTTCAACCTAAAGGTTTTTTTTTCAAATTGAAAAAGAAATACATAGTTAGGCAAGCTATAGTTATTTTGAAACAAATTTGGTTTTTAAATTTTGAAACCATATACAACTGAAAAGTACAGTTACTAAGGAGGCTGGAAACAGCACTTCAGCAGATGGGAGCAGAAGCTAGAACAAGGTTACCAAAAACTTCATTATTTCATGCATGGAGTACCTTTTCTCTTGAATTTCTAATCACGTTAACAGATACCAGGCTCACCTATGAAAAAACTGACATAATCCTTCTTCATCTTATCCAAACCGATCTCCAAGAGCATTTGAATTGGAGTGATGCCACTGAGGGAAACGACCTCTATCTTTCCGTGATAAGACTGTTGAATCAATTTACTTAGCAAACTGCTACTCCCTTGATGAATCTAAAAATTAGAAAAGTTTTCTTGTGATGTAACTGCATACAAAACATCATAAACATTGTTTAGAAGTACAATACCACGGAAACAGAGGCAAACCGTGACATGTGAAAGCAATTTAAAAACAATACAACACAGAAATGAGGAGCAGTTAAGTGACAAGAACTATATTCTACTTCAAACAACTCAAAATTATAAAATTTCTTGTGAAATACAAATACATACCCATGGCTGTATCTCACCACGTTCCAAGGATTTTATGATCAGTGTGAAACACTCTATCAACTCCTGATAGGAAGTGACACCTTAAGAAAAAAAGATGCAATATTTTGTTTATCAATCCAGGCTCACTCTCTAGCTGTTAAGTCAATAACAACAGGCCAACCCATACTTGCAGGAACGAAACCCCTCATTTAAAGAATGACAGCTGAAATGACAGATTGCACTGCTTTTTGTTAAGTTTGTCGTATCATGACTTTAAAAAGGGTTACTCTAACAAAACAATGATCGAAAGACACCACTGAACCGCATACGACTGTTAGAGAACAGCATGTGGCAGAAGCAGGTTGTCATATAACACATTTTGGCTACATTCTCTCTATATACATTGCAGTGCAACACATTTTATAAACTTAACTGAACAGCACCTATCTAGAATATGACCTATCAGTATCTATTAATCCAACCAACTAAGCAACAAGCCTCCACGCATTGTGCAGCTGACACTGCCCTTAAGCAGACATCACAGTACATTTTAGCTATCTAGTTTCAATTCAAACAATAGTGGTTGCACTAACAGGAATGAAAAGGATTTAGCAGTTACATACTCCACTCCTCAAACAGAAAGGAGTTGTTATAATCTCTGGAACAGCTTAACAAATTAATTAGTAATCGGAAAAAACAGTAATAAATAAAAATGCATTTTACTGAAGGACTGTGACTGGTGTTACAAGAATGATAAAGTTTGTGTGCAGCTTTGTCAACTTAAAAATTGTCCTTTAGATCTAGAAAGACAAAAATTTTATAGGTGACGTTTTCAGTTTTAGAGCAGATGAGTACTACCAATTGTTTAGTAGCTTTTACAGTCAAATAAAATGAAATATAATATCTCCTGCTAGACGTTGGTCTACCTTTTTATGTTGTAAGAAAGTATATCATCTTACATACGTAAAAATTAGCTCTTTTAGGAAAAGCCTATTGATAACAATTTTCTGAAGAGCTGATCAGTCCTTAAAACTCAGAGAAATTTATATTCATTTCACTGAGAAAGCAAGACAGTATAGTAGATACAGAGAACAAAAGAATTAAAGGAAAACAGATGGGGCAAAATACCGCACCACACTTACTTCTCATTTTGCACCATAACTGTTCAGCAAAATCCAGGTCTCCTCGCTCACTGAAGATTGATTTTATTGAACTGTCCACTGCAGCAGTGTCACATTTGATTTTCTGAAAGAGTTTGTTTGTCTTAAGTAAAACAACTATGCTTAAGATTCAAAGACCTTATGAATTTGAATTTTCTCCAGAGATCAAAATTGGGTGCTTCACTAATTTTTAGCACAGAAACAACTACTACAGAGTAATTTGGAAGCATATTTTTATTTAAAAGTCAGACTAATTCTTTTCAGAATTATCACGCTGGATAATTGCTAGCTTTGGACCAGGAAGTGAAGCCTGAAAGACTTTTGATCGTAGCCAAGTAAAGCTCAACCAGACTGTCTGCTAAGAACCAGCTGCTTAGCTCAAGACGGTCCTTTTCGCCTCACAACGGCACAATGCACAGCGCGTTGGTAAACAGCAAGAATACAGTCCAGCAAGCGCTAACTCGGAATATGACCTATGCTACACTGAACTCAGACAATGAAATAGCTCTATGTTTACCTAGCAGTGCCCTGGGAGGCCAAAATTAATACATATGTATATTCTCAGGACAATTTTCCTGTTCTCCTGATCCTGAATATTTCTGGTTTAGCTAATACAGAAATCATTATATTTTTAGCTCATGAACAAAATGCAACTTCCCTCTCAATAGGAAAAAGACCCAAACCTTTCCTTGTAAACCGAAAGGGAAAAAAAATCTTAACTGAAGACATTTTTACAATTTGAATTTGTCCATTGCTTTAGAATATCACAAGCCTCTAGATAAATAGGACAGCTATCCAACTGATACCATTAAATTGGCCCAAAATCATTAAATTCGGTAAGAAAAGCAAATTAGTGGCAGAACACAATGGCACAAAGGTCAGAGTTCCTGAAAGAAACTAGGACATCATGAGACTGATAGCTTTAGGAGGTGACAGACGATGGTTAAGACAAGGGAGTGTGATTGCAGTTGATATAATACGGTTCAATTTGCAAGCTTTTGGTAGTGAAAAGGAAAGGGAAAGAAGCAAATCAAAATAGCTTTGCACCACTAAGTTATATAAAAAATATGTATATGGACACTGGTAGACCATTTAAAATAAGAGGGAGGTTTTCTGAAAGTAAAAATTACAGTGGACTTTCTATTAGAGGATAGCTCTGGAATTCCTAATTTTGCCTGTAAGGCCTTCTTCCATTATTTTTACACAGCAGAAACAGAAAGAGACCTATCTTTCTTTACATATTTATGTCTATGTATTTACACATATACGCAAGTAATATACAAGATGTAGTCAATAGCTGAAATAACTAGAGTTATGAGGAGACAAGATGACAAGGCAATTGGTAGGAAATTGCATATACCTCTGTTTCATTACTGTTTCCAGATATACAATATCCATCCAGTTTCTTCTTTAAATCTAGTAGGGGAGACAAATAAATTTCACCACTATGAAAAAAAAATATCAAACCAATAGTCCAAATCCCTGGGCACATCATAATTAACAAATATGTTGACCGGATGGCTAACAGATAAAATTTATCTGTTTAAAAATTGTTTTTGCTGGGTCAGCATATAGTCTGAAAAGAGCATTTCTTAATTTTTTTTTATTATAAGCTATATATTTTCCCCATATACTTTTACTACATTCTGTCATCTAAGCATTAGCTTGTAAAGATTCAGTGATGTAGCAGTAAGGGGTAGCAGGTGATCTCATAAGTCTCTCTGGTTTTCTTCCACATGTATTTGTCAGAGAGCGTTTTTGTCTAGTTCTCCAAGTTTTATCTACATACTAAAAAAATTTACAGTTGTATTTGAAAATCTCTTGGTGCATTCCTACATCTGATTCTCTTTGTAGATTTTTTTTTCTAATATCTTAAACTTCTGGCAAGACACATATTGTTCACAACAGTTTTCCGAAGGAATCAGTAATTTTGGATGCTTCATTTTAAGATGTCATCAAAATATTGTTTTCCACCACCAAAGGGACACTGAGCAGATTTAGAAGTTCATGTGCATGTCAGTTAACCTGAAAGAGGCATCCAGAACCCTATCAATTGCTTTTGAAACATAATTGTGTCATTTTATAAAGAACCAATGATTACTTTTATACAAGATATTACGACAAAGAAAAATGACAGAGATGCACTGACTAACCTATTTAACTACTTTGTGCAGGTGGTTATAGCATAGAAACGAACATCTCTAATTCTAGCACGGTAGAAATTGTACATGGAATTTCCTTTCACTTCTGTGAAATGTGACATTCCCCTCTCCCCCTCTAACAAGCAGCAATTACCAGTCAGAAATTCCTGGACCAGTTCAACCGCGGAGTCAGACTCTAAGGGCTCAGGCCACTCAGTCACGCCTGTCTTCAAACCTTCGGCCAAAGCCTAAAGGCAGCATCAAAACCAAAACAACACAAATCAGTTCTTGTTTGAGGTTCTGCACGTGTCATACTTAAAATTGCAGTTAACTTCTCCAAGAATCGTACACCTCTCTCTGTACAGCTAACCATGGATTTAGAAAAGTCTTGAATTTCCTGGCTTTCCTGTTTATGATTTGTCCTCTTTGTAGTCAAGATTCCTAAAACGGAACTCAAAGTTTATTCTAAACTAAAAGCTTTAAGTTATCTTTGAACCACCTGATGAAGTTTTAAATAAAGTAAATCATTAACACATAAAATCACCATTCCATGTAAACCTGAAACTGGAATTTCTCACTCATACTTACAAGGAGAAACTGCAGTTCTCTATATAGCTGATATACAGGACTTCTGGGGTCCCCAGACTCCAGTGCAATATTCTGAAAGTTCCAGAAGTTTATATCAGTTTCAAACTTTAGAAATCGAGTGTCCTAAATTTTTCATTAGTGAAATGCATATTAGCATAATTTATAATTTAGATTATGAACACATTGTGTTGCTTATATAAAGAATAATAAACACAAATGTCAGGAGTCAAACTTATTTTCTCTCCTTTACACTACTCATCATGTAAGCAGTGAAAAGAGTTTGGGTTTGTTTGCTTTTTCCTTCTTGACTCACCAGTGTGGCAGCTGAAATTAGCGGGGGTGTCTCCAGAATCTTATCTACAGTATTCCACGTAATATCAACATATATATTGCTTTCAGATTCTACAATTGTGTCCTCTATTGCAGCAGCTCTAATGAGTTCATACTGAGCAAATCCTTTTGTCGTCACCTAGAATGAACAGATTTTAACAAAAAAAAAAACAAACAAACATTGATTGTTTTGTACCCATGCAAAATATTTTTAAAAGCATTTCACACACACACAAATAGGTTTAACATCAGACAAATGCTTTACAATATAGGGAGCTGAAATGTTACTTCAAAAGAGACTATTGTACTATAGAATCATACTAAGATGAGACAGAATCTATGAAGCTTCCCAAAACCAGTATCATAAATCCAAAACCAGAGTTTTTAAACTTCGATTGGAGGCATGACAGACCATAAAAACCTACAAGAGATGAGTGATGCTCCATTTTATGTGCCATTTTGAGCTCTTCCAGGTTTGCAAAACAGGTTTTATCAGCTGTAGGACCTAGGAAAGGAAAAAATTAAGAATCAGAAAAAAACATTTGACACAATGCAAATTTGGCACTTATCATTAATTCTCAGATGCTCCATTTGGTCAAGTACAACTTGCATTGTCCTTTAGAAAGCAGGCATTCTTCTTTCATCTGTCCTATTGATAATAAGGGCTGGTGTTAACATGTAGATGTTTGGTAAGAGTCAGTGCTTGCGTAAGAAGTTGAATGGTAGCAAGTTCAATTTGCTGAGTTTTTGCAGCTGAGTGAAGGCAGGCCTGCACAGATACTGTTGCATTAAGTATAATAAAAAGTTATTTCCCCCACACAGCATGGGTTAAAAACATCTTTTCTTTCCTCTCTCTCTCCCCCCCGCCCCTTATTTTTTTAAAATGAGGAATATAAAGCAGTACCAAGCCAACATCACACAAAGGACAAAGATAGCATCACTACATCAATATTCTCACATTTTTAAGCCTTCCTCATTTAATTTTATGTGCAACCTTATAACCTTACCATCACACGTAACCATATGAAAATTGATTCCCGTGATTTTGTTGCCAGCTTTGAGAGGCTCAGCTCCAAGCCAACAAGTATGTTCAGGATCAGAACCGTCACACCTTATCCAGAGGGGAGGAAGCACAACCAGTTCACTTATCTTCAAGTGGGTCATGTTTGGATTTTGTGCCATTGTATATAAGGAAATCAACTGCCTAGAGACATGAACAGGAAAAAAAAAATAAGATGCCAGCAGGTACAGCTAAATCTATTCCTTACATAAAACTTAACTCCTACCTACCACGCTTCGTTAGCAGACATCAAATCGTTTTACGAAAAGAATGCAGTATTACAATCCTCTTTTTACAGGTAGAGCAATGAAGTCACAAAGAAGGAAATAAGATACCATAACTGAGAATATATTTAAGATAATATTTTAATTTAGACTAAACATTCTGTAGTCATAATTGAATTTTACATTTTAAGCATATTAAAAGGATAAGGTAGTTAAGCAAACTAGTCACCATGTTTTGGTACCATGCCTTGGTATTTTAATAACAGCCAAAGACCCCAATCAGATTTTTTTTTTTAACAGAAGCCTTACCAAAACAAGCATTGAAGTCTTAGTAAGCTTTCTTTGCTCACCTACACCCAGACAGTCCCATTAACCTAATGGGACAGCTCACAGGTGCTTTTCCAGTACCTTGACTTTGTTAGGAATACTTTTGGCTAGGGGAAGCCATTTTGCAGGATGAAAAACGGTCTATCTCCTCACTAAACTAACGAGTAATTTAATTTTTGAGGATTGAAAATAAGACAAAGTTGCAAAAGAAAGTTACGTCAAAAAAGGAGGCAGACCTTTGACACTTACTTTGCTCTTCTGACAGAAAGAGCCACTGGTCCAGAACTCTCCTTTGGTAAAAGCTCGGAGGCATAAATAGCATCATCTGGTTTTGATTCCTCCATTGGGTCACTTTCTTCATTGCGTTGCTTTAAGAGAAATGCACAGGTAAGTCAAAAAATGCAAGGTACGTGAAAATATTTGATGGGAATTCAAGTCTAAAAAAATTTTAAAAATTAACAACTAACTTACTGCTTTCTGTAAAATATATATCATAGTGTTTCCATTCCAATATCTTTCAATGGGACTTTTGCAACTACCACCAATCAAACAGATCTCTACATCAGTCTGAAAAAAAACAAAACAAAGCAACTTTTTAATACCCTACATGTAAGTGCTGCATTTCAGCAATTTTTTATAGCTGAAATTGCAAAATTAACTAATTCCACAAACTGTTTTCCAACCCTATCACAACCATTCATGCATCTAAGGCTTGGTTACTTCAGGAGAACAGAGTTTCTGCATGCCATAGGTGGAATCAAATCAACTGTGAAATTGCAGTAACTTTCAGGTAACCAACACAGAAAATTTAATCTCTAACAGGTTGATTCTATGAGAACCTGAAGTTTGATTCGATGAACAAAACTTCAGATAACGTGAGACGTGAAGGATCACTGTTGTCAAGTAGCAACTTCAGTCACTAGATACCCTTGAGATGAAGAATACTCATTTAAAGTAACTTTAAATATCAATTGATCACTTCTCTGAATGTCTCATGAGAGCTCTAAACACTGTTTAGAGACATCAAATAACTCAAGCCTGTTCTCAAGAATGAAGGAATATCAGTCTTTACTTAGGCTTTTGCACGCACAGAGTATTGCTTGATTCTTCCCAGCTGTCAGTTTTTCCACATCGCGGTATCTTTAAATAACCACCTAATTTTATTTTCAAACTATTATCAAAGTTGTATAAATCCCAAGATTAATACAACCAAATAGCATTAGAGAATTTCCAGCCACCCCTGTGTTCCAAAAGGCATTAGAAGCAATTGCCATTTTCATACATATATCCCATTCGCTATAGAAGTACTTAGATTAAAAACGTGCCATCAGAAGTTGCAGATTTGAAGACCTGGATTACCTGCGTGACAAGTCTACCTCAGGGCGGCTGCTGCAGCAGCTCTCCTCTCCCCCCAGCAGCCACCCGCTGCACCTCCCGCCTGCTGCGCTCCGCACAACCCCCGGCCCGCAGCCCTCAGGTGTGCCTGATCCTTACAGTCATTTCAAACAAGTTAACAGTTAACAGGTGTAAAAAATCAGGGGGAAGGCGGGAACGAGCAGGGAGGGGGAGGCTGGTGATGGCCCCGGGAGGGCGGCACTCTGGTACCCGGGTCTTCGCCTCCATCCTGAGGTAGAGGCGGATCTGAAGAGGTATTTCTGAGCTAAACTTTCCTTTTTACGTGATATCCCCGCACGTATCTCAGCTGCTGATCAATGGCTGCATGTTTTAAACATACAGACTCAGGTTACACGGCTGAATTTTTACATGTATATTTACCTCAAAGAGATACGGATGTTCAGGGATATTTTCCCTTCCTTCTTCATATATTCTGAAAGAAAACGTTAAGGTACATAACGTTAGTTTTCCTCACTAAACAGCAAGTTTAACTGCATAAACTACAACGACGCGGGTCTACAGTCAGAGCCCCAGCAGCCTCCCCGCAGCC